ATCAGCAGTGGAGTCGTGAGACAGTCTGCGCGTCATGAATGTTCAGACTCCAGGACGCTGTGACACCGGCCGGCTCCTGTGGGAACAGACGAGGTCGGCGATGTACAGCGCGAGGTTGATGAAGCTCATCACAGCGACGGCGAGCTTCACGTCCCATGAGCACTTGCCCCTCGGGCAGCCCTGCGGCCGCAGCGGAGCACCGTGCTTCCCGTCGAAGCAGACGACGGGCCAAAGCACAGCAGCGCTCACATACAGCAGCACGGCGGCGAACGTGTAGATCACAGCGAGCCGCTCGAACGGCAGCCGCAGGGCCCCGCTCCGGCCCGACACCACCAGCGCCACCAGCAGCACGGCCCCGGACAAACACACGCCGAACACCGCCGCGCAGTACAGTGTCGCCGCGTGCCGCGTGAAATCAGTCCCGCTGGCGAGCATCACGAAAATCACGCATCCTACGAAGATCTGCGCCACCTTCAGGATGCCAGGCGCCGTCGCCATGTAGCTCACACCGCGCCCTGGTTTGGCCCGCGACAGGAACACCTCCGTCCCATACGCGACGCAAGCCGCCCACGAGCACACGCTCACCGTGATCCGAAAGTTTCTGACCTCGCAGTTGTTGTACGGACAGTCATCCGCGCGCACAAAGAACACGGGATACAGGATAGACGCAGTGAGCGTGAGCAGCGCGGCAAGAGACGCACACGTCACCGTCAGGTTGTCCCAGGACACCGGGAGACACACGTGCAGACGGGTCACGTCCAGCACCAGCACGGCCGCGCTGACGGCGAAGCAGCTCGTCCAGACCGCCATGCAGAAGGTCCCGTAGGTGGCGCTGTAACCGGCGCTGTGGATCACTAATGAGACGATGGTGCAGCCCAGCATCAGCTGACACACACGGGCCGCACCTGTGGGAGAAAACACGGCTGAGACGTTCAGATGATGACCAGCGGAGGCGCTCATGACGAGACGCTACACTAGCGCTCGAACGTCTGGGTCACACGTCTCTTCTGCTCAGCAAGGCTGCATTTATTTGATCAAAAATACAAATAAATATATATAATAAAATATTATAATAATAAAATATTATTACTATTATTACTATTATATACTATTATTATTATACTCAATTATTATAATTAATGTTGAAAACAGTATAAAAAAAGAAAAACTGTAAAAAAATAAAACATTAAACATTAAAATATTTAAAAAATGATAATAAAACAAAAATAGCAATCAAATTATAGAAATGTAAAATTAAATTAAATAAATAATTAAAAACAAATCAAAATAAAACAATGACTAGGAAATTTGTTTCTAAAATCATTTAAATCATTTAAAATGAAAACAGATATAACAAAATAAAATGCTTACTAAAAATAAATTAAATCATAAAAATGTCCAATTAAAATAATGAAAATAATTTTAAAATGAACACAAGTAAATAAAACACTCAAAATAAATAACCAAATCACAGAAATTTAAAATGAAGTAAGATAAAAAAATAAAAATAAAACAGACTAGAAATTTAATTCATAAAAATGACAAATTAAAAATATTTTAAAATTAAAATTAATCAAAATAAAACACTTACTAAAAACAATTAAATCAAAAATATGTAAAACTTAAAGAATTTTCAAAGTAAAAACAAAATCAAAATAAAACTTACCTAAATTATATCAATCATAAAAATGCATTATAATATTATAATTTTAAATAAAAAAATAAAAATAATAAAACACAAAAAATAAAAGAACATGGAAATATCAAATTAGAATAAATAATAAAAAACTAAATAAAACTAAATATGTATTAAATCATAAAAAAGGTCAAACTAAAACAAATAAATGACGTTTAAAATCAAAATGAAACACTAAAAGTGATTCATTTTTTCAGGATTCACAGATAAACACAGAAAGTTCAGAAGAACAGCATTTATTTGAAACAGAAATCTTTTGTAACATTATAAATGTCACTTTTGATCAATTGAATGCGTCCTTGCTGAAACAAAGTATTGATTTAAAGTCTCACTGACCCCAAACCTTTGAACACTGGTGTGTGTTATAGATCAGTGTTGGGTTTTGCAGCACTGACTCTTGCTCGTCTGTTGATTGGTTAGGGTTAGGGTTAGCAGGGATTGGGGATTGGTTGTCCGTCTGTCGTCCGTCTGTAGTCTGTCTGTCGTCCGTCTGTCGTCCGTCTGTAGTCCGTCTGTCGTCCGTCTGTAGTCTGTCTGTAGTCCGTCTGTCGTCCGTCTGTCGTCCGTCTGTAGTCCGTCTGTCGTCTGTCTGTCGTCCGTCTGTCGTCCGTCTGTCGTCTGTCTGTCGCTCGAGGCGAGGCTGCTCCTCAGGCCTGCATGAAGTATTTCTGACTCACGATCTGTCAGAAAGCAAACACAGAAAGTCTCACAGAGACGGACAGAAGATGTGTTACACAAGTACCATCAGATCGATTACCTTCTGATCCGACTGCTTCACAGACTCAGTGTTTCAGCAGAATCTGGAAGCAGAATGGGTTCGTCCATGCGGCCAGTCAGTGCGTGGCGGTCCAGAGGAGAGGGTTGACCGTATGTGGGAGCGTCAGAGCAGATATGAGACTGGCATGTGTGTCCACTGTGAAAAGAAACCACAGTTATGCTATATATAACCACACGCAGACACTCGGGATTGTTAGACATGCAGCTGAGGAATGAACCCTAAATATGTGAGACAACTACAGTCACTGCTCTTAAAGGAATAATTCATGCAAAAATGAACATTAGCTGAGAATGTGCTCTGCACCCTGAGTTTGTTTCTTCGTCAGGTTTGGAGAAATGTAGCACTGCATCAGTGTCTCACTGCAAGTGAATGGGTGCCATCAGAACGAGAGCTGATAAAAACATCACAATAATCCACAAGCACTCCAGTCCACATATTTATGTTACGCAAACATTGCAAAGCCATTACATCATTATTGTTCTACAAAGTCATACACACACATTTTGACTAAATAATCATAAATAATGACATTTTTAGCTGAACTTTAGTATCGGCAGCTCCGGTTGAATGTGATTTCATTTTATGTTTTTTTAATAATATAAAAAATAATTAAAATATTAAAAAATTGATTAAAGAAATAATAAATGCATACATACATGAATAAATAATTTTCAAAACCTCCAGTCAAGACATTTTTTTAATCATTAATACATCATTTTGAACTTTTTTTTTTGAGTATAAAACTATTACAAAGTATTTGTATACAAAAAATAAAAAAATTCATAAACTGATCAAATAAAAATTCAAACCCAAAATTCAGACCCCTAGCATAATTTCTAAATACTTTTGAATATACCATTTTTTATATTTTTTCAACTATGAAAAATATGTAATAAATACATAAAATAAAAATAAAAAATACATAATTTTAACCCCCTGGTGAAGCCCCCTAGCATATTTTTTAAAATAATTTCTAAAAAATAATTAAACAAGAAATAGATAGATAAATAAATAAGTAATAGCATGTTTTGTATATTATTTCTTTCGTGAGTCTAAATATTTCTCTGTGCTGAAGTGCAGTGACACACAGACTATAGCTTGATCACAGATCAACACAACATGCTTGAATCATATTACCATTTTTGTCATTTTTATTAATTTTTGGTGTTTTATATAACTTTTTATATAGTATTTTAGTACATCAAGTTTTTAAAAAATATATATTTTATTTTATTTCAGTTAATGCTTATCTTATTTCAAGTATTATTAATTTTTTTTATGATTTTGTTTAATAACCCTGCTGCAAATGACCCTGGTCTGTCTCCTTTGAACAGTATTTTTAACACAACAGCGCCACCAGCTGAAGCATCAGTGTAATCACATGCTGTAGTTCAACATTAGCTCTTCTGTTTGGCTAAAGATTGCTTTATGATGGTGTGAATAACTAGCCTAATCATAAGCTTATATCATATTGGGAATATTATGATGAGAAGATCTGTAAAGTCAACATGAAACAGCATCTGCATCCAGTTTTACTTCCGTAACATGATGTTTCTCTGAATTTAACCGGTTAATGTGGTCATTTAGGAGTTATTATCAGCATTTAGTATCATTTATATACTATTATAGTTTTCATTAATATTTTAAATTAGTATTTTTATGTATATATTTTTTCTTTCAGTTTTCATTTTAATTTGAAAGTTTACATTTTGTTAGTTTTTTATGTCTATATCAATTCTATTAGTTTAGGCTTAGTTAAATTAAACATGAATATTTTAAGATGTTGCCTTGGCGACTAGCTAAAATAAAAGCTTGTTTTTTATTTATTTATTTTGAATGATTTTGTAGTTTGGTGCACTAATGAATTATTCACAATAAGAAAAGAAACACACATTAAGAAAGAAAATGGAGTCTATTATTATGACTTAAAAGTTCATTCAAACCCAAACTTTCATCAGTGTAATTTATATATTATAATAGTATTTATAAACATTTTTAATTAGCTTTAATTTTTATATTTTCAGTTTCATTTTAATTGTAGTTTGAGTTTTTGTTGAATTTTGCTACATGCTTTTGTCATTTTTATTTTTGTACTTATTTTTATTTTTAAATTACTTAGTAGTACTTTAACTTATTTTATTTCAGTTAGTTGCCAAGCAAACATTTCTAATCATTTTAGGTTTTCCATCTAATATTTATATATTTTTTCAGTTTTATTTTATTTAATGAAATTATTTTTAATATTTTTAGTTTTCAATAACAATAGCACCACAGACTATAAATAATGCATTTTAATGTGGAAGAGATCTTTAGTTGAACTTTAGTATCTGTAGCTTCGGTTGAAATTGACTTGCTTTTATATTTGTATAAAAAATAAAAAATAAAGAGAGTACGAAACAAACAAATAAATAAATAAATCATTTTCAACCCCCCTGGTGAAGGTCCCTTAGCTTAAATGTTTTAAAAATAATTTCTTTGAGTATTAAAAAATTTAATAAAGAAATAAAGAGAAGAACTCAACTGGCAGTTATCATCGTGTATTTATTTGATGAAGGTTTGCATGAATTACAGTCAATCTATTGAACTGCTGAATGATGGGAATCTGAACGCTTCCGTCCTCCTGCATCGATCAAACCTCACTTCTTACCTGAAAACACACAGTAGACAACAACAAAAGTTTTTTAAAAATTTGAAAAACTTAATATTTATATGAACATATTTCCTATATTAAACTATGGAAGCCCGTTTTCGCCATGGGATAGAAAAATAAATAAGATAATTGCAACTTGTCACACAATTCAGACTTTTTTTCTCGCTATCCTTAGAAAAAAGTCAGAATTTCAATATAAAGTCAGATTTCGAAATATAAAGTCAGAACTGAGATAAATTCAGAATTTCAAGATATAGTCAGAACTGGAAAATATAAAATCAGAATTTGGATATAAAATCAGAATTGCGAATTATAAAGTCAGAATTTTGAAATAAAGTCAGAATTTCAATATAAAGTCAGAATTGAGATAGAATTTCAAAATAAAGTTAGAATTTCAATATAAAGTCATATTTCGAAATATAAACTCAGAACTTCAAGATATAGTCAGAATTTCAAAAAATAAAGTCAGAATTTCAAAATAAAGTCAGAATTGAGAGAATTTCAAAATAAAGTTAGAATTTCAATATAAAGTCATATTTCGAAATATAAACTCAGAACTGAGATAAATTCAGAATTTCAAGATGTAGTCAGAATTTCAAAAAATAAAGTCAGAATTTCAAAATAAAGTCAGAATTGAGAGAATTTCAAAATAAAGTTAGAATTTCAATATAAAGTCAGAACTGAGATAAATTCAGAATTTCATGATATAAAGTCAGAATTGAACTAGAATTTCAAAATAAAGTTAGAATTTCAATATAAAGTCAGAATTTCGATATAAATTCAGAATTTCAAGATATAAAGTCAGAACTGGAAAAAATATAAATTGAGAATTTGGATATAAAATCAGAATTGCGAATTATAAAGTCAGAATTTCAAAATAAAGTCAGAATTGAAATAGAATTTCAAAATAAAGATAGAATTTCAATATAAAGTCAGATTTCGAAATATAAAGTCAGAACTGAGATAAATTCAGAATTGCGAATTATAAAATCACAATTTCAAAAAATAAAGTCAGAATTTCAAAATAAAGTCAGAATTGAGATAGAATTTCAAAATAAAGTTCGAATTTCGATATAAAGTCAGAATTCGAAATATAAAGTCAGAACTGCAAGATAAATTCAGAATTTTGATATAAAGTAAGAATCGCGAGATACAAATTCACAATTTCAAAATAAAAAGTCAATATAATGAGATGTAAAGTGAGAATTGCGATATAAATATGAATAAACTACATCACATGCAAAACAGTTCTTTTAAATTGTAATCATATTTCACAATATTACTGTTTTTTCAATCAAATAAATGCAGCCTTGGTGAGCAGAAGAGACGGTTTTCAAAAACGTTTGAACAGCAGTGTCAGTACGCTCTCTAGTGGTGTTCGTCTAAAATCAAACATATGAGGAAATATGCAATAAGCTCCTGAACACACCTGGCAGTTTCAGCCATTTTGGCACTTGCCCGGGGTCGGTCTTCACCGGTCTGACCGCTGCTGTCAGCGCGTCACCGCCATCCTCCGTCGCCCCCTGCTGGCCGGAGGAGTCACATGACTCGGGAGCGGGCGGCAGGTCGTCTTCAGAGGGAGCGTGTGAGGAGACGGCAGGAGGAGAGCGCGGCACACAGCTGGAGCACAGGACAGGAACAGGAAGACAGCTTACACAAGACCAGTGCGTCTCTGAGGTCAGAGGTCACGACCTCCTGAGAGGCAGCAGTTCTTACAGACTTCCTGCATCAGTTTAAAGAGGTCCTATTATGCTCTTTTACAAAGTCTTGATTTTGTTTCGGGGGTGTACTAGAACAGGCTCTCATACTAGGTTGTTTGAAAAAACATAATTTTTCACATATTATACATTATTACAACACCTCTCTCCTCAGTCTGGCATGCACGGCTCGAATAGTTCCTGAATCAAATGAAGGCGCGCCTTCTGAAATACGAAATGTGCTGTGATTGGTTAGCTGGAACAGTGTGTGCTGTGATTGGTTAGCTGGGCCGGTGTGTGCTGTGATTGGTTAGCTGGGCCGGTGTGTGCTGTGATTGGTTAGCTGGAACAGTGTGTGTTGTGATCGGTTAGCTGGGCCGGTGTGTGCTGTGATTGGTTAGCTGGGCCGGTGTGTGTTGTGATTGGTTAGCTGGGCCGGTGTGTGCTGTGATTGGTTAGCTGGGCCGGTGTGTGTTGTGATTGGTTAGCTGGGCCGGTGTGGGCTGTGATTGGTTAGCTGGGCCGGTGTGTGCTGTGATTGGTTAGCTGGGCCGGTGTGTGCTGTGATTGGTTAGCTGGGCTAACTTAGCTTATTTATATAATTAGAGCAGTATTTAGAGCAGAAAGCACTGAGATTCTAAATCAGTGTGACCAGTGTAAAACAAACTAAAGCTAAAAATCATTTACTTTAATTGAAGTAAAACTGGAAAACCCCCATAAATATTAGATTTTAAAATGTAAAAAAAAAAACATACAAAAACTTGGAAAAATTAAAATTAGAAATGTTGCCTTAGCAACTAACTGAAATAAAAGTTGAAGCACTAGAATTGCTACAACTTAAACGTAAACTGAAATTAAAATGAAAGTTGACAATATAAAAAAAGCTAAAACAAAATATTAATGAAATCAAATTATTTCATATTATATAAATTATATATTAATAAAATTATTAAATAATACAAAAATTACACTGGGTACGACAGCATTACAATAAATGTAATAGAAATGTTGCCTTAGCAACTAACTGAAATAAAAGTTGAAGCACTAGAATTGCTACAACTTAAACGTAAACTGAAATTAAAATGAAAGTTGACAATATAAAAAAAGCTAAAACAAAATATTAATGAAATCAAATTATTTCATATTATATAAATTATATATTAATAAAATTATTAAATAATACTAAAATTACACTGGGTACGACAGCATTACAATAAATGTAATATGATAAATATAAAAAAAAAAATATATATATATATATATATAGAGATCTATATTATGATAAATTCTTGATCTGTCCCACATTAAGACATCACTGTGAGCTGCCGTGCCGATCCCAGCAGGACAGCATCTACTTTGACGTGTGCGTGTGTGTGTGTGTGTGAGTGTGAGAGTGTTTAATTATATATTTTATTTCAGTTAATATTTATTTTATTTCAAGGCGAAGCATGTTTATTTATACAGCACATTTCATATTCAAAGTGCTTTACAGAAAAGTTATTAAACAAGTTTCATAAGAAATGAAAAACAGTAAAAATTAGAAAAAATATCAAATTAGGTAAAATGAAATAAGATTAGAATAAAAATGATTAAAACTTAATTTAAAATGTATTAAAACAGTTAAGAGTAAAAAAGAGTGATGTTATTTTTAATGGTTTTAACCCAGATTCAGAGAAGGACTAAATAATAAAAAACAAGTTCTTATTACGTTTTAGTATTTACTTATATTTATTCATTATTATTATTATTTATATACTATTATAGTATTTATTAATATTTTGAATTAGTTTATTTCATATTTTAAATTTTTATTTTTAGCAATTTTGGATGTGTGTTTGACATTTTGTTTTAAATATTTATATTTAGCTTTAATTTATATCTATTTCAGTTTGAAAAAAATATTTTATTTAATTTAGTTGCCAAGGCAACAAGTAGCCAAGTTTAAGTTAAATTCACATTGAATATTTATACTTTATTTTATTTCAGCTTTACTTCAATTTATAAAACATATACTTTTATAGTTTTAGTTAACAATAACACCATGGCCGCTTCACACGTCAATCACACACTGTCGTCCTATCAAATGTGTCGTACTTTCTCACCTCACGCTCTTCAGCTGCGCGAATCTCTTCCGCACGTCGTCCATGGTGACCTCAAAAAACTCGTCAGGAAGCTCTGCGTCGTCATGGCGACGGGCTCCGGAGTCCAGATGGAAGATCAGCGGTTCCCTGTCAACCGGCTGCACAAACACACGATTCACTGATTCATCATGATTCACTGATTCATCACGGGTCACAGATTCATCACGAGTCACAGATTCATCACGAGTCACTGATTCATCACGAGTCACTGATTCATCACCACAAGTCACTGATTCATCACGAGTCACTGATTCATCACCACGAGTCACTGATTCATCACCATCGCGTGGCACTGCTTCATCGCGTGGCACTGCTTCATCGCGTGGCACTGCTTCATCGCGTGGCACTGCTTCATCGCGTGGCACTGCTTCATCGCGTGGCACTGCTTCATCGCGTGGCACTGCTTCATCGCGTGGCACTGCTTCATCGCGTGGCACTGCTTCATCGCGTGGCACTGATTCATCACGAGTGAGTCACTCTCTTGATTCATTATTAGCTGAACTGTAGGGAATTGTATAAATATGTTTTACAAATAATATAAAGTGTCTATCGATGGAGATTATGCTGTATCGTGTGTCTCTGTATGCAAATATGTGACCCTGGAGCATAAAACCAGTCTTACGTGTCAAATTTTCTGAAATTGAGATTTATACATCACCTGAAAGCTGAATAAATAATATTTCCATTGATGTATGGTTTGTTAGGATAGGACCATATTTGGCTGAGATACAACTATTTGAAAATCTGGAATCTGAGGGTGCAAAAAAATCTAAATATTGAGAAAATCATCTTTAAAGTTGTCCAAATGAAGTTCTTAGCAATGCATATTACTAATCAAACATTAAGTTTTGATATATTTACGGTAGGACATTTACAAAATATCTTCATGGAACATGATCTTTACTTAATATCCTAATGATTTTTGGCATAAAAGAGAAATGTATAATTGTGACCCATACAATGTATTGTTGGCTATTGCTACAAATATCCCCCAGCGACTTAACACTGCTTTTGTGCTGCAGGGACACATATAGCTACACAACTGCTTAACTTTAGATGTTAGAGTGATAAAGACAGACGCATGAATGAGAAAATAAAACAGAACATGCTTGGAAAAAAACAACAACAAAAAAAGTGTTATTTAGTGCAAGTTGCTGCATTTCTAATTTTCGTTTAGTATTTTAACTTTAACCCTAAGCATAAAAATAGCCCCACCTACTGATTAACATATGATTTGCATACAGGTTGACTTTGAAAATGAAACAAATTTCAGGGAAGGACTAAATAAAAAACAAAATGACAAACAACAGTCCTAATTATTATTTAGTATTTACTTATTTTTATTATTATTATTTATATACTATTATAGTATTTATTAATATTCTGAATTAGTTTATTTTATATTTTAAATTTTTTATAAAAAAAATTTATTTATGTTTTAGTAATTTACTGTGCTTTTGGCATTTTTTTTTAAAATATTTCTATGTAGCTTTAATTTATATCTATATGAAACAAATGCAAATTGTGTAAAAACGAAGAAAAAAAAAGCAAATTAAAAAGAAAAATGTGCTTCTTCACTTTATTATATTGACAGCCTTGCATTAAAACTGTAGTGAAAATGAAATTTGAATTTCTATGAAATGAATTTTTATCATTTAAACAATTTATTTAAAACGGGCAGAAAATGCCTTCTACAGAAAGCTATTATTAAATAGACCAACTATACATTTAATTTGTATCTTTTTTATATTGTATTTTTCCGAATGTTTATTTGCATTTTTGTGCACATTTTTAATAACAGAGATAAAATAAAACAACAAAAATATACTGTTTGCAATATAAAAATTTATTATACTGTGATTTATATCATTATCATGAATAAGGGTTTGGTCACATCGCCCAGCCTTAATATAAAATAATACATAACTAAAAAAATGCAGAGATCTGACATATAGACGCAATATCATAAGAAAGACCGTGTGTTTTTACCTCCAGATATTTGTCTGTTTCCTCTTCGTCCCTCATCGCTTGTTTGGCGCTGACTGATCTCTGATCAAACACATTCACAAACACTTTAGCTTGAGAGAGAGACATCTGAGTGACGACTAGAGAGCGACAGAGCAGAACAACACCCGCAAACAAACACTAAACCTGTGAGAAGAAGCAGATTTTCCATGAAAAAGACGTTCAAAAGTTTGGAATGATTAGGATTTTGTTTCTGAAAGAGTCTCTTCTGCTCAGCACGGCTGCATTTATTTGATTAAAAATATAGTAAAAATTGTGAAATATTATTATAATTTCAAACAGCTGTTTTCAATGTGAATATCTGTTAAACTGTAATTTATTCCTGTGATGCGCAGCTGATTATTAGATACATTTCTGATTATTATCAATGTTGAAAACAGTTGTGCTGCACAATATTTGAATGCATATTATACTGATTTCTGAAGATCATGTGACACTGAAGACTGGAGGAATGATGCTGAAAATACAGCTGCGCATCACAGAAATACATTACAGTTTAACAGATACTCACATAGAACACAGCTGTTTTACATTATAATAATATTTCACAATTTTTACTATATTTTTAATCAAATAAATGCAGCCTTGCTGAGCAGAAGAGACTTATTTTTAAAACATAAAAAATCTTAATGATTCCAAACTTTATTCCTGTAATGAAAAAGCCAAAAAAAACAAAAAAAGTGTGAGAGCAAATGAAGAAACATCAAGTGAACAGACCTTGATCTCACGGCTGGGTTTGGGTTTCTTGGCTTTCGGTGGGCTGCCAGACACACATGACGACCATGACGTGGACATCTTCAGTCCAGCAGTTCCTCCCAGACGCTGTCCGCTTCCCGAAAATGGAACAAAGTCAGTGGGCGTGGCTGAGGGGGCGGAGCCATGGCACTGTTGGGACGTCCCGGGTCGCTCGTCGTCCTCTTGTGGCATTAGTTTGGACGGCGGCTGGTCAGATTTGGGCCGCACTACCTGCTCTTGGCTCGTCTTCGGCTCCTCCTCTTCCTGTTTGACAGGATGATGGTTCAGCAGCGCCGCGACCTCAGTGGGAGGAGCCGGGGTTTCCATGGGAACAGGGGCGGGCTTCTCGGGTGGTTCTGGAGGCGGCTGTGATACGGTTGTCTTGGCAACAGCATCCGTTGGCATAGCGACCGCATCCACAGATACACCAGGACACGAGGAGTCAGAGCCTTTCAGCACATAACTAATGAACAGAAACGCCATCGTTATCATCATCATAATCATGTGATGTTACCGCTGAGACGAACAGCTCACCGTATGATAGCACTTCCTCCGGTGAGACCCAGAGACTTCAGAGTCGTCTTCTTCAGCGCATCCTCACCGCTGACCTACACAACGACAACAAGACATATAATCCACAGGATATTAATGAGAAAAGCATCCATGGAACGTTTCTGGTTCGTTTCATCATCCAGATTAAGAGAACAACATATTTTGTATTCGAAAAAAATAATAATAATAATAATTCAATAAATTATCCATCCCTTTTGTGTTATGCACCAACATGTTAGATTTATATGCAATCTATCATAAAAAAAGTGCACTTTGTTAAAAGTTTTGAGACAATTTGGAAAAGAGAATGTTCAAAAAATCTTTGTAAATATGTATAACTTCTTATGAACTTCTTCAGAGTTTCTGCAGGTTTGATGAAGGCTAATTTAAGAGCTTTTTAAGACCCGCAGAAACCTGTTCTTGGAATGTATCTTAACTTCTTTCTTCAGAAGATCCGCAGGAACGAGTGATAAGTCAGTAAATGAAGTCATTGTGATTTGATGTTGAGTTTAATAGAGATCAAGCGCTGGTCTCACCTCGTCTCGCATGTAAACACACACTGGTGTGGGTCCAGACGCGTCCAGATCAGACGTCCTGTGAGGAGGAAACATCAAAATATCTGTCAGGAGGAGAACAAACACTGGACTCTGATCTGTGCATCCGCTGGATGACATGCAGCAACACAAACACGTGTCTAATATACTGTATATACACGGAGTTCCTGGATTGAGACCCGCAGGGCTAGTTTTTCCCCATGTTTAAGGAAAAACAGCGGTGGATTTTTAAGGGAATCTCACTGCAGTGGAATCAGTTCTGTAAGAGCAGGGGGCGTGGCCAGTAAGGAAAGGGGAGGGGTCTGTTGTAGCAGTGGGAGGAGCCTGTGAGAACATGAGCGGCATTCAAAATCTGTTTAATATATATGTGTGACCCTGGAGCACAAAACCAGTCATAAGGGTCAATTTTTCGAAATTGAGATGTATACATCATCTGAAGCTGAATAAATAAGCTTTCCATTGATGTATGGTTTGTTAGGATCGGACAATATTTGAAAATCTGGAATCTGAGGGTGCAAAAAAATCTAAATATTGAGAAAATCATCTTTAAAGTTGTCCAAATGAAGTTCTTAACAATGCATATTACTAATCAAACATTAAGTTTTGATATATTTACGGTAGGACATTTACTAAATATCTTCATGGAACATGATCTTTACTTAATATCCTAATGATTTTTGTCATAAAAGAGAAATGTATAATTGTGACCCATACAATGTATTGTTGGCTATTGCTACAAATATCCCCCAGCGACTCAACACTGCTTTTGTGCTGCAGGGACACATATTCACATTCCGGGATTCTATTTCGACCCCAAAAAATTGTTATTTAATAACATAGTCATAACTTAATATTTGTCAAATAAAACCATATTGTATCTGATCAGCAACTTCATATTAATGACTGAATGTGAAAAATTTTTTGTGTTTGTTAATTGTTTTTACCATGTTAATGCATTAACTGTGCATTTACATTAATAAACAAAAAAGGTAGAAATTCTTTGAAATTTCAAATTACACATAAACCAGAAATTTTATTTGAATATATAATTGCATGAAATTTATAAGAACACATAATCTGAGAATTACCAGTATTAACCCCATTTGAATGAAAACAAAAACAACAACAATTTATTAAAAATTTTGGAATTTAATTCCTTTGAATTTATAACTCGATTGTTCAAAAACAGTCCAAATTTATGAAACTTACATATTTATTTTTAACAAAAGATCAAAACAACAAAAATATTACTCTGAAAAGTTTTCAAACAAAATAAATTAACTTTACTTGCATAAACTTTCACTTTCAGATGAAAAAATTATATATTTTTCATGCTGCGGGGGTTCATCAATAGGCGACATATTCAAGTTTATCAACAAAATTCAGTCCCAAAAGTGTGTGAGACACGGGGAAAAGGCTAAATGTATTTTACAAAGGTTTTTTGACACTAATATAACTTCACAGATCATTTTACAGAAAGTATTTTCACATCTAACGGCACTCCATACATACCCAGGTCAAAAATGACCCGAACATGACATTTTAAAAAAATGGTTATATCTCTGAAAACATAATTGCAAAAAATCTGAAAAAAATAAATGATGTGTATTTTGAGTGTCTTAAATCATTTGCAAAGTTTCGTTTGCTTACTAAAAACGATGCATTTTTTAGAAATGTTTATGCATTATGAGGGTTCGAGAGTTATGCAGCGCTCATAAAACAGCCCTCGAGTCTCACAGTTCACACGATCACAGCGCGGAACGTGATTCAGCTGGAGAGGAATGTGTTTTATTTCAATCAACAGAGACAGAACAACACACCTGGTCTGAGGAAAGTGTGCCAGTAGATCCCATAACGACTGTCCACTCGAGAAAGAGCCTTGAAGACGAGAGCCGTCCTCCATCTGCAGCGCGATCCGCACCTGAACCAACAGAGAGAAATTAAAATAAAAAACTATTAATAAGACACACTAAGGCTGCGTTAATTTGATCGAAAATACAGTAAAAATTCAGAAATATTATTATAATGTAAAACAGCTGTTTTCTATGTGAATCTCTGTTAAACTGTGATGTATTTCTGTGATGCGCAGCTGTATTTTCAGCATCATTCCTCCAGTCTTCAGTGTCACATGATCTTCAGAAATCAGTATAATATGCTGATCTGCTGCTCGAGAAACATTTCTGATTATTATCAATGTTGAACACAGTCGTGCTGCACAATATTTTTGTGGAAACCGTGATAGATGTTATTTTTCAGGATTCACAGATGAATAGAAAGTTCAGAAGAACAGCGTTTATTTGAAATAGAAATAGTTTGTAACATTCTAAATGTCTTTACTGGCACTTTTGATACATTTAATGCATCCTTGATGAATAAAAGTATTAATTTTTTTTTATCATACTGACCCCAAACTTTTGAACGGAGGTGTATATATAATGTATATTTACTATACATAGCATAATAGTAATTTATATACTACTATATATATATATATATATTTTTTTTTTAATTAGCGTTTATTTTTTCTATTTTCAGTTTTCATTTTCAGATCTGCTTTGTTTGCAGCTGAAACTGAACTTGTTTCGTAATGAATGAACTTTATGAAGTCATTGAACCGAATCTGAATTAAAATTGAATTAAATGGATCTGAACAATGGCTTGTCTTTTTTAGAGCTGAACTACTTTTTTTTTTTATAATGATTGAACTTTAGAACATTCACTGAACCGAATCTGAATCAACACTGAACTGAATAGAGTTGAATAATGACCAAGCGGCAACCACCCGCTCTCTCTCGTGAAGCCAACAAGGAAGTGACTTAAACTGTAATTCATCAACTGGCCACTAGCGGCTGGCACCTATAGACTCCCCATGTTAAAATGCCCAACTTTACAGCAGAAAAAAACATGTTTACAGCCTGGTTCAAAAAATTATTTTGGTCTATATATCTAATTTTGCCCTTCATGACGACTGTGAGGGGGGTGCATTTTTTAATAACTCATCTGTTTAAATTATATTAAGCCTTAAAGTTCTGCATAATTAAGGGCGTGGCCACTTGAGTGACAGCTGGATTGACCGCTGAACTTGGCATCTCTGCCGTGTTTCTGCTTTTGTTTTATTCAGTCTATGGGTTATTTTCGTGATTATTTCTTAAAAGTATCAAATAAAATGTCTTGTTGTGCGGTTAATTGTACTAACAGACCGTCCAAGTCTGGGATCCATTTCTTCAGGTGAGTGATATTGTAATGTAATTTTATTTATTTATTCTTTATAATTTTATTCAAAACTCTACTACACTCCAGAATCCAACAGACTGTGATTAGCTGTAACGTTAGGCCTGTAATTACGTTACTCGTTAAGCATTTTCCTCCCATAGAAAACCGTTAGGCTATAAGAAATGATTTAATGAATTAAAACAGTTTTTAAAAGACAAAACTCAGTGAGAGCATGATTAATAAATCATACTATGTACAGACAAGCATTGTTTTAATGCATTAAGCCATGTAAGCGTTTTCCTTATAACGGTTTTTATCAGTTATTCAGTCGAGCTGTCCTGTTCTAGTCGACTGCAAGTCTGGGAAATCTAGTCTAGTTTTAGTCAATTAAACTCATTTTAGTCAAGCTGCATGATGGTTAAACTGATAATCACTATTATTTTGCTCAAAATTGCTGATCATTTGAGAAATTACATCAGAACTATTGCACTCGGTTTTATTTTCAATCATTTTTTGTGTGTTTTTGTCATTTTAATTTTACTAACCATTTTTGAATTAAACTACATGAAAATGATACATTTTTCTTGAATTAAAATAAGCTTAATTTTTAGTAAGAAAAAAGTTTTTAGTTTTATTTGACTATAATCACTCTGTTTCAAAGCATTAATTATTAAAAAAAAAAAAAAGAGACGTGACATGTGGCCAAGTATGGTGACCCATACTCAGAATTAGTGCTCTGCATTTACCCATCCAAAGTGCACACACACAGCAGTGAACACACACACACCGTGAACACACTCCCGGAGCAGTGGGCAGCCATTTATGCTGCGGCGCCCGGGGAGCAGTTGGGGGTTCAGTGCCTTGCTCAAGGGCACCTCAGTCGTGGTATTGAAGGTGGAAGAGAGAGCTGTACATTCACTCCCCCCACCTACAATCCCTGCCGGTACGAGACTCGAACCCACAACCTTTGGGTTAAGAGTCCGACTCTCTAACCATTAGGCCACGACTTATCACACTACAATCTTTTTTTTTTTATTGCCGAGAGAGTACTTTATACTCTAAAACTACTTGATCAATGACATTTTAAAAAACTATTTATTTTCTCAATGAAAAATAAATATTGCTGGTCTTACTGTGAGTATTTCACTGATGCACATTGTTCAAAAGAAAACGAGTTTCATAAAAACATGCACTGCCTCTGACTAAGGACACACATATGAAAATTAATATATTAGCCAATAAAATCAATTTTCAGCTGTTATTCCGTGTCAGTTCTGGCTAAACCAGCCAAACTAAATCAATTAATTTGATTTGACACACAGACAGTGGTGTTAATTATGCAGACACACACCGCGCTCTCAGCTCCCGTCTGCGGCCGAGAACACACCACCATCTCCAGCTTGGCATTATTCGGCAGACTAGCAAAACGCCACTGCAGAGACAAATCTAGAACGAGCCTCTGAAACCTGCAGACAAAGAGAGACAGAGACAATGAGCTTTTTTGACATTGACAGAGACAATGAGTGTGCACACAAACACACTCACTTACACACACACACTCACTTACACACACACACACACACTCACACTCACACTCTCTCACACACACACACACACACACACTCTCTCTCACACACACACACACGCGCACACACACCCTCTCCCCCACACACACCCTCACGCACACACACACACACACACACACACACACACACTCCCACGCGCGCACACTCTCTCTCTCTCTCACACACACACACACACTCACACAAAGTCAGTCACATGTGTTGATGAATTCATGTTTATTATTATGTTATAAGTTCTATATTTGAATATGTATGTGTATGCATATATATATATATATATATATACAGTATACACACTTATATTATATATTAATTTAGATATATTTATGGACAACTGTATATAATTATATAAATAAAAATTATAAATATATGTATTATATATTATACATCTAATTTTCTAAAATTGTTTTATATATACACAATTGTATATAATTATATATAGAAATATTATGCATAATTTATGCATACATATGTATATAAAATAACTAATTATACGCAGTATATTTGTTTGTTTGTTTTATATATATATATATATATATATATATATATATATATATATATTTAGATACACATAATTGGGACAGAATAAAGCAAACAAGTATTCTAAGTATATACTGGACTTGTGTAAAAGAAAGATCAGTGTCAGGTCTGATTTAGATAATATTTTACTCCGTAAAATACTAATACAAACTAGGAATGCACAATATTTGATTTCTTTGCTTCAGTTTATCAGTATAGGCTGATATTGGGTATTTATTGGCAAGTGTTGGACACTTACCTGTGGACCGTTATTTAGGACTATTCAAAACGAGTTTAAACCCAATTTATAAAAACCCAAAACAATATTAACCCAATTTACATTCACACAATACATGGTCCTCATGTCAAGCAGCTTAAAACACCTGGGCTTCTGCTGGACAGCACTGCTTATGTGGTCATGGAAATGCATAAGCTGTTCTTACATGCACACGTTTACAGACGCAGTACATAAACCTGAATGCTGTTTTCTTGTATTAAGAAATGCTGCTGTGTGAATTAAAGAAACAGTTCACCCAAAAATGAAACAAAAAATACTTTCATGTGTGAAGGCCTGATATACTTTCATTCTTCGCTTATGGGTAAAAAGGTCAATATAAGCAAGCAGCGGTTAACTTTTAGCAAACATCCTGACACTGCCGAGAGCAAAGTTTAGATGCATGTGTAAATATATGCTGCATGCTTTCCTCTCAGTAACAAAACAAACAACAAAAATGGCAGCATGGGAAAACAGCAGTTAAGAAAGCATCTGATCATAGCAATGTGGATGTTTGCATGAGCTCTGCAATCGGTGCTACAGTAAAATCACTTCACATCATATTTTTATAACGCTTTATGCAGAAGACTGCTTTAAAGCAAGCAGCTTTACAGTATTAAACATGGAAGAAAAAGTGTCAGTGTTGCATTTGGTTAGAATTACAACTTGATTCTCTGCTATAAAGCAGCTCTATATGTAAATCAATAATGTATAGAAAACTCAATATTTTAAAGGGGTCCTATTATGCTCTTTTACAAAGCTCTT